ACCAGCATGATAGAACAGGGCAAACTCACACAAATAACCTATATCAGAAATAAAGAAAGTGACAGGTACAGAACTGAGAGAATAAGAGGAAGTTATAAACAATTTTGTAATATATTAGTATATTATGCTGACAATTATATTATTTTGGTAATTTAGGGAAAATTGGAGAGCTTGTGAAAATAGAAAATCTGAATATACCTATATTTATGAAAAATTGAATGTAAAATAACAAAACAAAAAAAGAAATGTCAGATTCAGATATTTTCTGTAGAAGTCTATCAAATATTTTAGGAATAAATAAAATAAATACTACATTTTCCAAAAATAAAGCAGTAAGGAATACTTTCTAATATGTTTATGAGGCAAGCAAAACCCTGATATAAAAACCTGATAAGGAAATTTTAAGAAAGAAAATTATAAGATAAATATCTATTATGAACACTGATACAATATTCTTATTGAAATATTAGCTCTAGCAATATACAAATATGATAATACATCATGACCAAGTGGTGTGTAATCCAGAAATGCAAGGTAGTTTGACATTTAAAGAGAAGTCAATATAGTATACCCCATTAACAGAATGAAGGGGAAAAACGAAATGATTACCTAATTATATAAAGAAAAGTTAATTTACTAAACTCAGTACCATTTGGATAAAAACTTTCAACAATTGGTAAAGGGTACACTATAAAAAGCCTATAGTTAACATGATACTTAATTATAAAAGATTAAATTCTTCCTGAGATTAGAGACAAGGCAAGGATGCTTGCCTTACTAATTCTATTGAACATTATGTTGGAGGTTCTAATCAGGACATTAAGAACAGAGAAAGAAATAAGATTCATATAATCACAACCATAGCAATAATCTTTACAGAAATTAAAACATGGATTCTAAAATATAGGAATGCAAAGGACATAGAATAATAAGAACCAATGCAGAAGTACAGTGTTGAATGACCTACACTACTTCATTTTGAGACTCATTATAAAGTTATCATTAATAAAGCAGTATAGTATTGATGGAGAAGGAAATGGCAACCCACTCCAGTATTCTTGCCTGGAGAATCCTGTGGACAGAGGAGCTTGGTGGGCTGCTGTCCATGGGGTCACACAGAGTCGGACACGACTGAAGCAACTTAGCATGCATGCATGCATAGTATTGATGTACTTGATATATTTGATTCCATAAAAAAAATTATGGAGGTCTTTACTTACTTGGTGTGGATTGGAACTACAGAGCTATAACTCTAGAGTTGCAGTTTTATAGAGCAAACACTAACCATGCTGGAACTATCTTTCAAGAAAGGATTCTAGAAAGCTGTAACTAAAACTCTGAAAAAGGAAGGGAAAAAGCACTAGAGATGCTGAAAGAGGGCTATTTGATTTACATCTACAAAGTGCTGAAACAAGTCATCTATACAACAGTATCTCATTGAAAGCCATGAGCATCATGAACTCTTTTGTCACTGATATCTTTGACAGTATCACTGGGAGGCATTGCGCTTGGCCCATTACAATAAGGGTTCAATAATTACTTCTAGGGAGATCCAGGTGGCCACACGCCCGCTGCTGCCTGGGGAGCTGGCCAAGAACACCATATTCAAGGGCACCAAGGCCATCAACAAGTCCACTAGCTCCAACTAAATATCTTTCTACTTAACCCAAATGCTCTTTTCAGGGCCTTAAAAAAATAATTAAAAAAAAATCTAGAAATACATTCACATATAAAGAGCTGCCTGATTTTTAATAAAGTTGCCTAGGAAATTCAATTTGCAAAAAATGCCCTTTAGACAAATAATGCTGGAATAGCGGGATATCCATATGTGAAAAAATAAATCTTGATTTCTACTTCACATCATACACAATTATTATTTGTGTTGGAAGACAGACGTAAAATTAAAAGCTAAATCTATAAAACAGAATAAAAATGGATTGTTTTGACTTTATCACAACTAAAATTTTTTTTTTCATCAAAACAGACCAGTAAGAAAATCAAATGGCGAGACACAAAATTGGAAAAAATATTTTCACCGTGTATGTACGACAACTTGTGTTCAGAATACATAAATAGCTAGTACAAATCAATAACAAAGCAAAAAATTTGATTAAAATGGACAAAAGATTTTAACAAACATGTCACAGAAGGTGTATGCATGAACAGTAAACGTACAAAAAGTTGCTCAACATCATTAGGCATCAGAAAAATGCAAATTAAAACCACAACTTTCTACCATATGTGTATTAGAACAGATAAAATTAAAAAAAAAGAATGACAGTATCAAGAGTTGACTTGTGGACCAAATAGGAACTGTCATACATGGCTAGTGAGAGTGTAAAATGATATAATTACTTTGGAAAACAATTTGGCAGGTTTTATTAACCATACACTAACCGTTATTTTTATTGACGTATAGTATATTATATTAACTTCAGGTGTACAATGTAGTAATTCAGTATTTTCATAGACTATATACTCCATTGAAAGTTATTACAAAATAATCACTATATCTCCTTGTGCTGTATACTATATCCTTGTTGCTTATTTATTTTGTACATCACATTGAAAGTTATTACAAAATAATCACTATATCTCCTTGTGCTGTATAATATATCCTTATTGCTTATTTATTTTGTACGTCATAATTTGTATCTCTTAATTCCAAACTGTTATTTTGCCCCTCCCATATAACCTAGAATTTCCTCTCCTAGGTTAAGAAATGTTCATAGCAGCTTTATTCATCATAGCCAAAAATAGGATATAACCCAATATCTAAAAACAAATAGCTAAACTTTGGTATATTCAGGCAATGAAATGCTTCTTAACAGTAAAAAAGAATTCACAATAACACAAATGAATCTCAAACACATAATGCTGAGCCAAGAATACATACTGTGTCAGTTTAATCCAAGGTAATAAAAATCAAACAGTTGTCTCAATGCGGGAGCAGGGGTATGGCCTGGAAGGAGCACAAAGGAACTTTCTGGGGTTATGAAAATATTCTGTATCTCATTTAAGGTGATGGTTATCCTGATAGTTATCCATTTGTCAGAAATAATCAGACTATACACTTAATATGTGTACTTCATTTAGGTAAATTATACCTTATAAAAAAATGGTTTGGGAAAAATAAATCTAACCATAACCAGTGTAGTCCAAATAGGATGGAGTTGATTCTCTTGACTTCCCTCATAGTTTGAATGAAATATTCTGGAGATTAGATTTTATTGGTCAGTTTGAGGTCTCTGATTGGCAACCTGACTTGACTGTGGGCAAATTAAAACTATCAATTTCATGTGTGCTGAGCCCTGGAGTGAAGGAAGAATTATGGTAACATGAAAGTCGCTGGGAGTATAGAGGGGGATTTTCCTGAGGTCTCATAATAATGTTGTCAGAGATTTTATCTTTCTGAATCACCATTACATCTCAAAGCCTCTGGAATAGTGTTTGGCATGTTGCATGTTCTCAGAAATGTCAATGATTTAGAGAAAGAATTATCCCCTCACTCCTAGATTAAGCCTTATTAGATTCTTGGTCATTGGGCCTAGATTTATAAGAACTCACCTGGTGAAGAGTAAAGAGCAAGGGATTTGGAATTAGAAAGATCTGAGTTTGATTTCTGGATAAGTTACTGCCTTCCTAACCTTCTACCTCTGTCTCCATAAAGTGTGTGTAGTTAATCATATGTTCCCATCAGATGGTTCTGAGACTACAGTAAGTTGATGTACATCCTCTTGGTGCACTGCAGTGTTGAGCTAATCTGTTGCTGCTTCTGGATGTAGTTCTGGGGATGTAGGTCACCCTGAACCTGCTAGAGAAGCTTTCCTATGTAATTTCCTAGCTTATTAATATGCTTTACCGGGGCATATTACCAATCTGCCTGCTGATTCTGAGCAGGGAGGCAGACCCAGAGACCCTGAGAACTTTGGACCCTAAGGGGCCTTCTAGTTGCAGCCATCACTATCATTTTTGTAAACCTGCTCAGGAGGTCCCATTGGATTGCCTCTCCTCCTTACACCTTAACGATTTAGTGATAGCTCCATGGGGCTACTCCCAGGGAACAGAAAGAAAGACAGGATGTTCAGACTTGACATTATCCAACCCGAGACTTTGTTCCCACACCTTACTTCTGGCAGGGCCTTTCCTATCCATGCAGAGATGAGTTGGGCCCAGAGAACTCATTCCCCCTTATTAAGTTAGGTGTCCTTACTTAGTACCCACAGTCCCTCTGGGTAATAATCATAATCATATTAGTGTTATTTGGTTTAGCTGTTCTCGCCTTTAGTAGAGAGTAGTCATTGTGAGAGGACTTTTGACATAATCAAGGCCGTACCCCTAGATTTTAGCAAGATATTTGGCTCATAGCATTCTCAGTGAAAAAATAAAAGCTCTCATCTTCCAGAGAACCTTCCTAGATTGGCAGTAATATTGTTGCTTAGTCCTCTGTTCAATGGACGGTTTGCCCTTGATTCTTATTTGTTGTCATTGTTGTCCCTTTGGCCCACTGCTGACTGCTCTGCCTCTGTGTCTTTCTGCCCCTCTAAATTCTGTGTGTTTCTCCCATCAGATTTAGTGCTCACTGAGGGAGGTATCCACATATCCCCATCAGAGTAGGAACACCTGACTATGGATGAAGGTTATTTCCCCTTGTCAGACCTCTAGTCATATCTTTCTCACTTTATCACGGTCTTCTGGAAGGCAGGAACCATGTCAGAACAGCAGAGTGGGATTCCCTGGGAGGCCGTCTTCTGCTTGGTAACCATGTTTCCCATTGCACAGAGGCTCCCAGGGCATTGTAACCACAACCACATCATAAGTGGGAAACACCTGATTGTTCTTCTCCCATCCCACCTGTGCTATGTCTCCTTATCAAAGGAAGGATACCTTTGAATGTAGGTTTCTGTCTCTCCATCATGCTGGGAACCACTGATCTCTTAAGACATTGCCCAAAGGCTAAGGGAAGAATAGGATAGGGTCTCCGGGTGGGGCTGAAGACTTTATGACCGGACAACACTCCGCTTCAGCAGTCGGAGGGCCCCATCCCGGATCTGCTTGGTCTTCATGCCATAGATGAGGGGATTGAGCATGGGTGGCATGACAAGGTAGAGGTCAGCCAAGAGGATGTGGATATGCCGGGGCACATGCTGGCCAAAGCGCTGAGTGTAGAACGAGAAGAGTCCCGGTGTATAGAACAGAAGGATGACTCCCAGGTGGGAGCCACAAGTGCCAAAGGTCTTAGCCCTTACCTCCTTGGAGGAGAGGCCTAGCACAGCCCGGAGGATGAGTGCATAGGATATAGCAATGCAGATGGAGTCAGTACCCACCCCCAATGTGGCAGCGGTGATGCCATAGATGTTGTTTGGCTGTGTGCCCCCACATGCCAGCTTCACCACAGCCATGTGCTCACAGTAGGAGTGGGCCACCACTCGGCCACAGTAGCTCAGTCTTGCCAGTAAGCAGGTGAGTGGGGTCATGAGTCCCAAGCCACGAAACACAGCAGCAGCCCCCAACTTGCCCACAGCCTCTAGGGGCAGCAATGACCCATAATGCAGGGGCCGGCAGATGGCCAAGTAGCGGTCAAAGGCCATTGCTAGCAAGATGCCAGATTCTACAGCTGAGAAGCCATGGATGAAGAACATCTGGGTGGCACAGGCCCCAAAGGCAATCTCAGCAGCATTTGCCCAAAAGAGTGCAAGGAGCTTGGGCACAGTGGAGGTGCAGAGCACCAGATCGATGATGGACAGCATGCATAGGAACAGGTACATGGGCTGGTGCAGCTCAGGCTCCGAGTACACCACCAGCAGCATTGCTATGTTGCCGAGTACCGCCAGGGTGTACATGGAGCAGAATGGAAATGCAATCCAAAAGTGGGAGGCCTCCAGGCCAGGAATTCCCATGAGCAGGAAGGAGGTTGAATTCTGCTGGCTGTGGTTTGTGAATTTCATGGCTAAGTCACGGTAGGGTGGGTAGAGAAATTATTGTCTTGATCTGAACTCTAGAAAGTGCTGAGAGATGAAGCATTTGGGATGCATCCTTATGCTATGGCTGAAACAGAAATGGCAGCAGGAAATATTTGAGTTAGATATCATGAAAAATATATGAGAAGATTATAGAGTGCTGGGAAATGATGCAAGGCAAGAGGTGAAGTTATCATGATCAGGATTCATTCAAAGGAGCCCTTTCCTCTTATGTCTGATTTGATAATGTCTATCTTAGAGGGTGAAGTGTGAGTGGAATGGGTGTAGAACCCTCTTCATGGTGAAGGTGAGCAGCTAGAAACTCTTATAGTTTTCTTTTCCTGCCTGTGAATCATCTTTTGTCTATACTCTTTCTATATCCATCTACTTACTCTGAGTCATCTGCCTGGGTGACTATATATATAAGGGTAATGTCATGGTCAAATGAATCAGATGTGGTTACTTTTCAAGATGGGAAGATCAGGACTGAAGGGAAGGGAAGGGAAAGCAAGGAAATCGTCAATGGATTTTTCCATCCATCGAGCCTATAATTACTCACAGATAAGGCTCAAAATCTGGGTTGAGGGGACTTCTTTGGCAGCCCAGTGGTTAAGACTCCATGCTTCCAATATAAGAGGTACAGTTGATCTCTGATCAGGGAACTAAGATCCCATGTGCTGTGTGGCCCCGCCAAAATTTTTTTTAAAAAATTAAAAAAAAAATCTGGGTTCAGATCAGGCACAGTGAAGCACATGTTGAGGGGCTGGGTCTCTTGTACACTATTACAGCCACAACACTGCCTGAGTAATGTTAGTACTGGGATCCTGTGCTTGCCTTAGGTGTCCTGTATGGATGCTGCTAGAAAACAGGGGAAATCATGCAGAATTTATCAATGGTAGATGTCAGGTGATTTGGCCATAATGGGTGATCTGATATAGTTACTGAAAGACAATTGCAGACAAAGTATAGTCTCTTATAAAAATCAAAATTACATGGGAAAAAAAGAGGGGACGAGAAGTGAATTTTAATCACCAGAATAATATACTCTTCACTGTAAACAGAGAGACCAAGGTTGGTCTAATGATAGTACTGACCTCCTACACATCTCCTCCCCATCACTGTCCACTACTCACACTCTCTGTATCCCCTGATCTCCTCTCTCTTACATGTGCCTTCTTATTTCTCTCTTAGCCACTAGCTAGCCAGTAATTGAGAATCTGAGAAAGAGGGGAGATTAAATTTAAAAATTCAACAAGGAGAGACACTAGACGGAGAGGAGATAACGATGAAAAGGAGAGAATAAGAAAATCAGAAATGGACAGAGGAGAGAGTAGAATAGAGTGGAGAGAGACAAAGCTGTCACACCCTGGTTTCTAAGACAACAGATGTGACGATGTTCTGATTGCTAGTTGGGACAGAGAGTGTGGAACTGATTGGATCCTCTGGAGATAGCCCGTGTGTATCCCTAACCTTAAATGGCAATATTCCTTGTAATCGCTTGCACCAGCTGTCCTAACCCAGAGACAAAGCGGCAAGAAGAGAAAGGGCGAGGTCTTCCAGTGTGATCTGGGGGAAGGAACCCTGGACCAGGATGCCTGATTTTCCACACCTCTGCCAACTGTGGCTCTTACTGTGGTATTGAATGAATTACCCTGTGTCCTTCTGCTGCCTCCTCCTTTCCTCCATGTATTCCCTACTTTCTCTTCTGTGCTATCTTCTTCCCCAAGTTTTCACCATCCATCTTGAACCCAAGCAGATCTAGAAGGGATTTAATTTGGGTGGTGGCTGAAGGGTCAGGGACAGAGGAATATCTGGGTGGGGGGATTTCATGAGATGGTATAGGTAAAACTGTTCCATGCTATGAATGGGAATACTGTGTGTTTGGCTGAGTGTGTGATTGTGTGTGTCTGTATATGTTGTGCAAAGCACATGTGCAAGGTTATATTCAGAAGATGCGGGTCCACATAGCCAGATAAGAATTTGTTTTTACAGTGTGCTTGCTTCAGGGCCTTTTCTTTGGTGTGGAGGCAATTGGGAGTTGAATAATCCAGGTTTAAATGGAGCAATCTTGTTTTCTTTCCTTTCCATGTTTTCCTTCCCCCACTCAGTCTTTTAATAATTGAATCAAGTTTCCTTGGTTCCTAAGCTGTTACTCAAAATTGTGCCACTTTTACTGTTTACTAAAGCAGCAAGAGCTCATCTGAATGCTGGTGATGATAACCCACTTCCTGCCTTGCATTATTTCCCAAAGTCCTGCAATCTTCCCCTCCTGGTCTTCATGAGGTCTAACTCAAATATTAGTGAGAGGGCCAGAAAGTGAGGATCCTAAAGCCCTCACCTTCACCTTGACCTCTTTCCTGGAATCTGAGCATTTCTTGTGCTTAACAAAAAATATTCCAACTTCATTTTCCCCACTGTGCAAATGGGGACTCAACAAAAACAAAATGCCCCTCACCTCTCTTTATTCCTAATTATCTTCGTATTTGGGATGAGAAAGCCCTTACTTTAAAATATACAAGACTAGAAGCTAAAGTACAGGAACAAGGCTGTCCTACAAGGAAAAGAGGAAGTCCTGTGTCACTAGAGGTGCTCATAAGCACCTGGAAGTTCCCTGCCAGGCTGTGTGAGCTCAGTCGTCACCCAACCTCTCTCCACCTGCTTTCTCATCTGTGACCTGGAGGGGATGATTCCTATGTCAGGGACTACTATGAGGAATCATTACGGGAGACACGTATCTGAAGAGCAATAAGGCCACTTGGCACAGAGCAATGATCAAAAGGTGTGATGCATTGTCTGAAGTGGAGAATACCTCAGGAGAAAACTATCTTAGTAGCTGTCTGGGCTTTGATCTGCTGAGTACTGTGCCTGCTGTAGGAATGAACACACAGGCTTACCTGGTCTGGGGGAGGAAGTGTAACAGAGCCTCAGGTCCTGCAGGGCTTGGAGTGTGGGGAGCAAAAGAGCTGGAGTATTTATCTTGTTTTTAGGGCCTTAGCTGAGAGTGAAAAATCCCCTGGGGATGAAGGCACTTAAAAAGACCTCTGGGATGCTGCAAAGAGCCAGAAAATTGAAGTTAGGAAATTTAGGCTTTGATGGAGTAGGAGGGAAGGATAGGACACCAAAGAAGATCTACCCTGCAAGTTCAGTGTGGGTAGGAGGTGGGTAGGTGGAGAGACCCCCAAGCACAAGTAATCCTAAAGTTTTTTGGCATAGGAATGCATTGTAGGATATATATAAAACTAATATTGCTTTCCCTCCTGGTCCCTTCCATCTCTTCCAAATCCAATTTGTTTATCAGTGTTTTTTTTTTTTGGGGGGGGGGTGAGTGGGGGTGGAGCAAGCTACTTCTCTGAATGTCATTTCTTTGTAAAACAAGGAGGCAATGAATATTAAATGAGCTAATATATTCAGGGCATAGAACATTTTGCTTGGTTTATGCCAAACTCTCAATAAAAAGTAAGAGTTTTTATTATTTTATCCAATTTAGTGATCACTGGTTGAGAATCTGTTATATGCAAAGAACTATGCAAGATGTTAGGGCACAGAGTTGAAAGAATGTGCCCCTGTACTCAAGGAGGTCTTACCCTGGTTTGGAGAATGGGTAGACATATAAAAGTTAATTAACTCAATAAGATATGTATAGACATAAAAAAGACACAGAGGCTCATTTAGCAGGGAATTAGGGTCAAGGTTTTCGGGTTTAGAAGTACAAGGTGGGCTTGGAGAAAGGGGCACATGAAGGAGAAAAGACAGCATGTGTAAAACATGACAAATAAGGTATAATGAGCATTTCCTGGAAACCTCTGAAGCCCAAATCAAAGTTTCTGTTTTTCTGAATCGTCTCTGATCCTCAGAGCCACAATGAGTGTCCACACAATATCTTATCAAATGCTGCTTGTGTTATAGTGTCAACTTTAAATCTCTTTGGTGTTATCTTGTTGTTCAGTTGCTCAGTTGTGTCCAACTCTTTGCAACTCCATGGACAGCAGCACTCCAGGCTTCCCTGTCCTCCGCCGTCTCCTGGGGTTTGCTCAAACTCATATCCATTGAGTCGGTGATGCCATCCAACCATCTCATCCTCTGTCATCCCCTTCTCTTCCTGCCTTCAATCTTTCCCAGCATGAGGTCTTTTCCAATGTGTCAGCTCTTCACATCAGCTGGTCAAAGTGTTGGAGCTTCAGCATCAATATTCAACATCGGTCCTTCCAATGAACATTCAGGATTGATTTCCTTTAGGATTGATTGGTTTGATCTCCTTGCAGTCCAAGGGACTCTCAAAAGTCTTCTCCAACACCACAGTTCAAAAGCATCAATTCTTTGGTGCTCAGCCTTCTTTATGGTTCAACACTCACATCCATACATGTCTACTGGAAAAACCATAGCTTTGACTATACAGAGACCTTTGT